ATACATACATATATATATATATATATATATATATATATATATATATATATATATATATATATATATAAATCCTATTTCCAATACAATTGCATGCACACATACATACCATATTAACAGACACCCAAACTTTATTTTCTACCCAATAACAGACAATCTTAGAAAAGATTCCACAGTACAACACACACCATTTAAGTGCCTAGAAATTAACATCACCATGTTTGGTCAAGCAGAGAAAACCGACACCCTATTTTCTCAAGCTTAAATCCCACAGATTTCGACTTTCAGAGAGCAGAGATGTGTTGTCTCTAAGTTGCACACAAAAGAAGATGCGCACCCGCCTGCAGCTGAAAGTAACATTTGTCCGTAACTTCAAACGAATCATTTCCAATAACACGTGGACGGCCAGTCGGCGACTTCAAACGAACCATCTCCAACAACAGCTACGACAACAAAGACGATCTTTGAATTTTCAATAACGACAAAAGTAATTTTTCAAAAACAGCGTTGACTGTGAACCAAGTATTTAAAAATCTTTTCTCAAACGCAGTTTTTTTTTCGTGGACCTTCTATTTAAATATCTTCTCGAAACTACAGTTTTCTGAGTACCAATTACACAACAAAACTTTAACAAAAGATTATATTTACTACTTTTCTACTCCTTTGATTTCATATATATACACACACACACACACACACACACATATATATATATATATATATATATATATATTTTCAAAGTCTAATCACACTCCATCTATAATAAAACACGTGCCCTCATCCATAGAATATAGAATTGGTATTAACTGTGCAAACGCAGATATATTTTATAAACATTGCAATTTTTACAATAATGCTTTAAAAATAGTGGCCATAAATGCCCCGATATTAAATACAGAAAAGAAAATAATGATAGCCGGAAAAAAATAGAATTAGAAAAATCAGTTGGTACATCCACCCATTTAACCACATGGTTAGCACTAAGTTAGGCCAAAAGTTTCTTGCTTTAATTAAGAAACATTTTCCAAGTAATAATCCTCTAAGCAAGATTTCCAATAAAATACGCTTAAATTAAGTTATAATAGTACTTATAATCTAGAAAAAATTATTAAAAAACATAATAAAATTTTGAATAAAAACTTAATCCTAAACAATAATAATAGTAATTTCAAAGCGGAAATCAATACTGTTGATAAAAAAATTATGTAATTGTAGAAATCCCATAAATTGTCCATTGCAAAATAAATGTCTTACTGAATCTATTGTCTACTAATGCCCCATGTAATCTACAGAAAACCCAGATGTTAAGAAATTTTATATTAGTAGCACAAAACAAGCAAACTTTTAAACAAAGTGGTATCATATTTCTTCTTTTAACAATCATGCGTACTGTAACCGAACATCCCTCTCTAAGTATTTTTGGTATTTAAAAGAAATCAATAAAACCCCAAGAGTAAAATGAAAAATATTAAAAAACATAAGAATTTGTAAGTCCTTAAAGGACCCATGTCCCTTGTGTCGACATGAAAAGCTACATATTATTAAGTTTCCTAAAAATAATGATCTAAATCAGCGTAATGAACTAACAGTAATTTGTAGGCATTGTACAATGTTTACTTTAAAATATAGTTAATAGAATTTTTCATAAAAATTCTATGCATTACAATTATATATCCATTATTTTATCAATATAGAATGGCAAATATAATATTTTATTCCTTGAATTTTTAACTTTAATGTTGGTAACATAAGTATTGTGTTTTAGGCTCAAAATAATATATATATAAATGATTTAATCACACTAAAGGCCCCTTTAAGATAGTTCTCAAGTATATACAATTTCTTTTTAAATCTTGAAATTCTTTAAGATTAACATTTTGCTAAATAAAGCTCTCTGACTATGTATTTTAAAGTTACATTTATAACCGGTTGTCAGATAATGGTGAAGCGTCTTAAAAATGTCAATTGATTTAAACATGAATGAATAACACACCTAACTCTAGCCTATATTTCTCACTTTACTGCGTCAGCATTGATCCGTCTTTTGATTAGTTAACCTAGAAATAGCCACAAAATTCTGAAATCTTGTTCCCCCGTCCTTTTTAACTCTTAAATAAGCTACCGTATTGTTTTCTGCTTTCAAAAGTAAATCATTCGCATCACAAGTTACCAAACATCGCCTGATGATGGAACAATTTAAAATTCCGAAACATAGAAATTTTTATGTAGCGATGTAAAATATTTTTTTAAATATTATTAAAATATTTTGCTCTTCGTTGTATCGAGCACTTTTAAGTAAATGCTACAACCGTGGATTCTTAATCTGCCTGTTCTTTCTCTTTTTTTTATATATATATATATATATATATATATATATATATATATATATATATATATATATTAGTTTTATGGAAAACTAGGTAATCCGTATGGGTAGACCCAAGGAGGATAAAATCCAGAGAGCTCAATGTAAATCCAGAGCAAATAATTTAAATAAAACAGACCACTTTAAGGTTCCATGTAATAAATTATTTCACCTCAGCCCTTTTAAAGGACTGCGGATTATCAGACTTTACTTCCAAATGTTGAAACGAAAAAACTGAAACGAAAAATTTTTGTTTCAAACTTTAGAAGTAAATTTTCGTTTCAACTTTTGGAAGTAAAGTCTGATGATCCGCAGTCCTTTAAAAGGGCTGCTGGGGTGAAATAATTTATTACATGGAACCTTAAAGTGGTCTGTTTTTATTTTATTTAATATATATATATATATATATATATATATATATATATATATATATATATATATATATTAATTGATTTAAAATATGGTTTTTTCGCTACACAGTTCTAACCATGTTTCAAAAATGGAAGCTAAAAGCCACGAATTTAATTTTGTGATTAAATTAAAGACATTAGTTCCATTTCATCCTCAAGCGAATTTTAGAGTAACTTTTTAAAATTACTGGGTTTTAAATACACAGCTAAAACAAAATTCATGTTTCTAAGGTTACAGATTAATCTATTTATTAAATATTGCTCTGTAAATTTACATTGAGCACTATTTTGTAAAAATAAAAATATCTATAAGAACACCGGATTATATATCTTGCTGTTCTTTCTTTCTTTATATATATATATATATATATATATATATATATATATATAAAAGAAATATGTTGTAGTGGTTCCAACGAGAGAAAAGTATGTATATTAAAAAGAAGGGTGGTGCCGCAAAAGTTTTTCGTTGTAATGTGGATTTATTGAGAAAAAATATTATACTTTGTTTTACATAATTTCACGACACGTGTTTCTGGTCTCGTAACCGTCTTCAGGTGAAAGTGGAGATTTCTACATATTATTAAAAATAATTAATTTTTCTTCATGTTCAATGTGGAATATTCTCGATATGAGACATTCTGTTTGTGTGTTGGCAATCCGAATTTTCTTTCTAGAAAGAAAATTCGGATTGCCAACACACGTGTCGTGAAATTATGTAAAACAAAGTATAATATTTTTTCTCAATAAATCCACATTACAACCAAAAACGTTTGCGGCACCACCCTTTTTTTTTTATATATATATATATATATATATATATATATATATATATATATATTCGTATGTGTGTGTGTGTATTGATATAATAGGAAATAAATATTAGATTGATGATCCTAAGTATTTTTTGTTCTTATTTTTAAAAGTTCGATACAGAAGTAGAGCCTAAATTATAATTATATATATATATATATATATATATATATATATATATATATATATATATACAGGTGGCATGTCTTTCTCTTTTTCTTTTAACTTTGAGAACGGCAACACATTTCTCTTTTGCCTCGGACAGTCGCAAAGGCATGTAAGTACTTCAGAGACACAGACTGAAGATTGTATTGAACTTTTCATAACTTCAACTTTCTTTCGTTCCTTACCTTTCTGTAACATGTCTTGTTAATACATTTATTGTTTAGTGGCCAAATTACCCGCACCTTGCTGCGTGTCATACATTTTTTGTAAGAAAATGATAATTGATTTTAAATCATCGTTATAATTTTTAGAGAAAAATGATGTATTTAAATATTACTCAATGACCTTGCTGCAGTGACTTCGATCTTCCGGCTTTCTCCTATATTTTGGATAGGAGTCATTCCCTTGTTCAAATTTAAATTTAATTTAAATCAAATGAAAAAAAATCAGTGGGAGTGTGTGTGCAAAAACAGTTTGATATGTATTTGATACAATACTTGATTGAATGAATTGATGTGCAGATTTCAACATTGACGTGACAGTTTAATTGTCGTAACAAATTTGTATTATAAGGCATTCCCCATTGATTGGCGATTTCTTGCTGAACTTGACGTCCATATTGTCACATATTGATTTTGGTGATGTGACCTCTATCTTCTGGCTTTCTCCTACTATATTTTGAATAGTTCAAATTTAAGTTTAATTTAAATCAAACGGAAAAAATCAATGAAGGGGGTGCATCCGGAGATCTCCTTTGATCAAAACGAAATATACTTATCCAAGTACCACAGAAGTCATTCCCTTGTTCAAATTTAAATTTGATTTATATCAAAGGGAAAAAATCAGTGTGTGTGTGGTGGGGGAGAACCTCTTTAATTAAAATTAAATATACTTATCCAAGTACCCTGGGTAATGTAGTTCCAGAATATACATGATTATGGGGTTTATCTCCAAAACTCTAGGAAGAGTTTGATAACAAACAGATAAGATAGAGGTTACAACTTTATATATAGAGATTTGTCTTGTGTCCCACTGTTTTTATCTTTTCGTTCCTTTTGCTATTATTCATGCTCCTTTGTGTATACCAGTCTAGAATATCTACACCCAAACAAAGTTCGTGAAGAAAGCAAATAGGAAATGGTTGAAAAGAAAACAGTTGTTTATGTCTTTGTAGAAACGTTCATGAAAATCTTGTAAAAAAATATCTTCCAGACAGAATCGAACAGAGAGAACGAGGACATCAAGCAAAAATGACTTACAACTGGGTACAGTTTTAACATATATGTATATGCATCTCACAAACGCACAAAGAAGTTCATACAGGTAGCAATTCCAATAGAAGTCTTACATATAAATTCATGTCTCAGACATTGTAACTTTGGTCATAATCTACTTAAAGATTATGCAAGATTTTCGGCGTACCAGATTGCATTGGTCAGAGCTGAAAAGATTTAGTTTGAGCAGCTCAAATCAAGCACATAATATCCGGATTGAGTTGTTTAAATTCTCTTGTGTACAAGAACTCTTTTTTTTTGTATTGCTTCCACAAGTTTGAGAAGTTGAAGACCGACTAAAAAGCTCCTCAAACCAACTAAGCAACACTGTTAAATAAGAACGTGACAGACTGAAATATCTGGTTTAAACTAGTGGTGGCTTAAAATGTAAAGAAAACAGAAAAATGGCGAAGGACACTCAAGTAATCAAATTCGTTGCTTATCTAGACTTCATAAAAAAAAAATCAATGTAAACTTATTAATAATATCAATCAGATAAACGAAAAATATTCATTTACTGACGGGGATTTTATTAACCTCCTGAGTGGATTAAATAAGTGAATCCCCATTTTTTTTAGCTGATATCATATTGGCTCCCAGGTCACACACCTAATACCCCACTCTCATAGCCGTATGAAGAAAACTTCCTTCTTGGTTTTATGTACGCTGAAAGGTCAAAATGAAAACTACCATAACATTGTAAAAATATTGGGTCGGAACAAAAATAATTATATTATTCACCCAATTTAACTCGTCCTGGATATGACGATAAACTACATCCGGCAGCAAGGCTTCTGGTCGATAGATTTTGAGGAGCGTGGAATCACTTCTTAACTGCTGTTGTTCCCAGGTCCACTCTGACCCAGGGTGGTAGAACCTTTTAGGGTTACAGCTATCAGTAAATAGTGAAACCCCAAACAAAAATAAACAATACATTTTTATGGTAAAATGACAGTCAGTGCAACACTAAAAAAGTATAAAAATACATTTTATATACATTTTATATAACAAAATTTACCAACAATAACTCCAATACATAAAAAACATTAAGAATACGTTGTATGATCTACCTGTAAGTATAAATTAAGTCCCAAATATCTGTAGTTGAAACCATACAATTACATACAAAATATTTAGATTCCGGAATTAAATAACCCAGAGAGATTGATATGCCACTAAACAAAAACGACCAACCAACAATACATATTTATAGTAAAATCATCAACATTACTTATTTATAGTAAAATGACCAACAATACATTTAATCTGTAGTTGAAGTCATATAATTTCATTATTTATTTATGTCATTGACTACACTAACCTTCTGATTTACCAAATCCGTACACTTTCCATCGATTACTGCTCTTGATCGGCCGAGTGGGGATCAGTACTTGTAGGAATTAAAAGTCTAATTTTTGCAGAGCTAGCTCACAATGATCAGTGCCATTCCGGGCCCAACACTTTCTTTGGATTTAGACCGGCTTTTTTAAGGTTGCCGGTGGTTCATTTTATTTTCCCCATTGTTGTAAACTATCTATTTTTCATCGTCTGATATCGTTCTTTTCAAAAATGGATGACTGACTCATAAGTTTGAGCTGAACATCACAAATGGAAACGAAGTCAGTTCAGTTTTTTTCGTTAAATATTGAGGCACTCAAACATCATGACAATTCACGTGTCCATGTGTTTTCAAACGCCTTACAACGTTCGTATAAATAATATGGGGCATCTCTACGATCTCCCGTGTCGTGTGATCTGGATTATCTTTTAATCAGCATGTCAATTTGATCATCAACAACGACTACATACATTCTGGAACGTTCTCAGTTTTCCAGATCAAATATTCCGCTTCAGAACCCAGTGAACCTCTTACGAAAAGTACTCTCAGTTACAGCACCATCTCCATAAACGTCACTTACCTTTTTTGCTGTTTATACTGCACTTTTTCCTTTCGGGAAATTAAAGTGTATGAAATAACGAAAATTGATCATATTTTCCTTTATTACGTAAACAATACTTAAAAATTTTAATCCACATACAAATCTTATGGAAACACACCTTGGAATATCAGCTTTCAGAATTTGTATACACATTATGAGTTTCAGTCAGGTGTGAAATTAAATACGTATTTAAACGCCAAGAATTATTGTCCAATCCAATATAGATACTTTTTCACCTGGTCTCAGATGTCATTCGATAAAATGTCGTCAGACGTACATTCGAATCTATATTGCCCACACATCATTGTACTCTTCAGACATCGGATGTCTGATGTAACTGACGTGTGGCGTGTACTGCCCAGATAACCTCCAAGATAGAAACTATTGTTTAAACTTTTAATTTTAGAAAACTAAAACAATGATACTACAACTACTACTACTATTAATACTACAACTACTACTACTAATAATAATAATAAATGAAACCACGTGTTCGTTATTTTTTCTTCAGTTTGAGTAAAAAATTGTCATATCGTCGTCGGCTTTATCTCATATCCAAAAATTTAATTACTTCTTTTCTGATTGCTTCCTTTATGATGACGGCATTGATGAATAAGTAGACCAATTCTTACATGGAAGAGCCATTGGCATTGACTGCATGGTAATGTTAATGGAGGACGAGGTCGGTTCTGTCAAGTCTCTCTCTGTTTTTGTTTGACTTCTTCGTTTTCTCTTCTATTCGATATCTGTGGTTCAGACACTGATGGAACATCAAAAGTTGGTACAGTGTTGTGCATGTGTTTCAAATGATTTAGGCTCAAGTCCACTGGCTTTCAGTGTCGTTTTGAGTTGGTTCTTGTATCTTCAAAGAGGGAAACCCCGTCATTTTTTGTCATATAGATATTATAAAAAAGGAATTAATTACTTGTTTCTAATGCCACTCTGTCATCCCCAGTCGGATTTTTTCTTAACTGCCCCCTCCTAGTTTTTATACTGCCACAAGGGATTGGTATCGTTCACGTTTAGAATCCAAGAACTATAGAGATTATTTTTGTTAGAACTGTTCTTGTCTTGGAGCTAACAATTGGAGAAAGTACAGAACATGCCAACAATACGTTTTTTCCATTGACACCGATTTTTTAACCACCTTTACTCTTCGACAATGTTTATTGTTTTAAAAAGCAATGATTAAAATTGTAATATAACCTAAAGCGTGTGCTAATCAATTTTGAGACTCAACATATAAAAAATGGAAATTCAACTACGAAAATGAAAAAGGAAATTCAGCTAGCAACCGTTACCAATCATTCTCTATTGGAAAGACAATATATTTATTTAGCTTTGTCCTTGAACTCTATCGAATTTGGAAAGTAAAGAACAATCTCATTTTCAAGTATATTGTATATAGATAGGAATTAAATTAAAATTTACTATGTATATATTTTTCTCTGTGTTCTTTATTAAAACTTGACAGTTGTCAACCACAAAAGACAATTTAGAACCAATCAAAACGCTATTTTTCATTAACTGCCTTTGTGCGACGCTTTGAGACAATAAAATGACACGACTAAATATTTTTCTTCAGTAACTTCAAGCAACGCTAAATAACCATTGAACTCTGGGCATAAGATTTTTCACTCCTACACATTGAGTCCAGTCACAATAAATTCTTTCTTCTCAATTAATAGTCATTTCTTACAAGACAGAATTACATGCAACACAAGACAATTTTCACATTAACCTTCATTGAAAGTGCCCTTAACTTTCCTTTATAGAACGCATACACTACTAAAGTAACTACTCTTTTTCATATATATTTTATAAACTTCCAACACTTCAAAGCAATTTTTGACACCCTTTTTAATCTTGTTTAATATTATTGTATACATTTATTGTATTTCTTGCACAAAACTAAAATAGTTTCATTCTGCCTAAACCTCTCCCGATTTCTCCACTCGTCACTTGTTTTATACATTCTTCCTCCCTTGTCTCTCTTAATAGTAAACTACGGTCATTGTCTTTTATAGGTGGAAAGTTTATACACTGCAACAATCTATCTATCTATCTATCTATCTATCTATCTATCTATCTATCTATCTCAGTTGAAGCGTCTCGCTCTTTCTTTCAGTCTTTTAATTTATCTATTAATATCTATCTCAGTTTATGCGTTTATATCTATCTATCTATCTATGTTCATTATCTATCTCATCTATTCTTTTCTATCTATCTTGGTACGTATATTCGTTTCTATCTATCTATCTATCTATTTATCTCATCTATTCGTTTCTATCTATCATGGTACGTGTATTCCTGTCTATCTATCTATCTATCTATCTATCTATCTATCTATCTATCTATCTATCTATCTCAGTTGCACGTATATTCTTTCTTTCATCTATTTAATTTATCTATTCTATCTATCTCAGTTTGAATCTATCTATCTATCTATCTATCTATCTATCTATCTTTTAATTTATCTATCATTACGTATATTATCTATCTCAGTATTATCTATTATATATCTATCTATCATATCTATGTTCATTATCTATCTCATCTATTATCTATCTATCTATCTTGGTACGTATATTCGTTTCTATCTATCTATCTATCTATCTATTTATCTCATCTATTCGTATATTCCTATATCTATCATGGTATCTATCTATCTATCTATCATGGTACGTATATATCTATCTATCTATCTATCTATCTATCTATCTATCTATCATGGTACGTATATTCCTATCTATCTATCTATCTATCTATCTATCTATCTATCTATCTCAGTTGAAGCGACTCGCTCTTTCTTTCAGTCTTTTAATTTATCTATTAATATCTATCTCAGTTTCTATCTATCTATCTATCTATCTATCTATCTATGTCCAATAGCTATCTATGTCATCTATACGGTACGTATATTCCTTTCTATCTATCTCAGTTGAAGCGTCTCACTCTTGCTTTCAATCTTTTAATCTATCAATATCTATCTCGGTTTATGCATTTTTATCTATCTATCTATCTATCTATCTATCTATCTATCTATCTATCTATCTATCTATCTATCTCTGTCTGTCTGTTAATATCTGTCCATCTATCGCAGTTTATGCGTTTCTATCTATCTATCTATCTATCTATCTGTCTGTTAATATCTGTCCATCTATCGCAGTTTATGCATATCTATCTATCTATCTATCTATCTATCTATCTATGTGTTTGTTTGTTAGAAAACGTTTAAATACAAATCACCTATAAACTAATTATAATCGAAAATAAAAAGAAAAATCCTGACGTCTCTTTGTATTTTCATCTGAGGAGGTGCAAGGGGACTAATTGTTAAGAAAGCGGGCAATAGAATCTGTGATTTGAATTTAATTTCCGGTTGGGACAGTTTTACGTTTCTTTTGCACTGATGTTCTTGGAAGAGCAACTAATTCACTTCTATCTTCCATCGTCTATTAGTGAAAAGAAGTGCAGAATGGACGACTTCATCTTCTCTCCTTACAAGACGTTAAACTTTCAATTCCAAATCGGAGAGAAGTCAATCGGGAAAGCACTTCGTTTTTATTCCCAAGGCCAAACGGGGCAATGCACAGCTGACACAGATTAAAGAAAAGATAAACTGTCGATATATATATATATATAATCATCTACATCGCTTAATGGGATCTATCTATCTGTCTCAGTATATTCATTATGTATAAAATAGGATACAGAAACCCAGAAAAGTTTGAAGAAATATGACAGACGGAAAACCGTTTAATTGAAACTAGTTTTCATTACGCATTTAATCCACATTTTTAAAGGATTTATCAAATCAAAAACGAAAGAAATACGAGGTCTGTCTGAAAAGTAACGGGATTGGTATCACAAACTCTCTCTCTCTCTCTCTCTCTCTCTCTCTCTATATATATATATATATATATATATATATATATATATATATATATCGGTCTATTCGATTCTCTCACTCTACATTGATGCATTTTGAATTTGGAAAGTAAAGAACACTGTCATTTTCAAGTAATATCGATAAGAAATTAAATCACAATTTACGATGTATATATTTTTCGCTGTGTCTTTTATTATAACTTGACAATTGGCAACCCAAACAGGCACTTTTGAACCAATCTAAACGCTAGATTTCATTAACGAAAAAAATTGCCTTTGTGAGCCGATTTGAGCCAATAAATAGAGACAACTAAATATTTTCTTCAGAAACTTCACGCAACGCTAAGTAGCCATTGAACTCTGTGTATAAGATTTTTCTATCCCGAATACTGAGCCCAATCACAAAAAGTTCTTTCTCAATTAATAGGCACAAGTTACAAGACAGAATTACCTATGAAACAAGACAATTTTCACATTAGATTTCATTGAAATTGTTCTTAACTTTCCTTTATAGAACACGCACTCTACAAGAGTAACTATATTATAAAGTTACACTCTTTTTTATATATATTTTATAAACTTCCAGCACTTCAAAGCAATTTTTGACACCCTTTTTAATCTTGCTTAATATTATTGTATACATTTATTGTATTTCTAGCACAAAACTAAAATAGTTTCATTCTGCCTAAACTTCTCCTGATTTCTCCACTCGTCACTTGTTTTATACATTCTTTCTCCCTTGTCCTCTTAGTACTGCACTCATTGGTTCGTTCACTGGTCTATCTATCTATCTATCTATCTATCTATCTATCTATCTATCTATCTGTTAATATCTGCCTATCTGAGTTTATATCTATCTATCTATCTATCTATCTATCTATCTGTTGTGGTAGGATCCACCTAATTTGCATAGTGGAGTACCGACCATATAAATATGGTTGGTACCGGGAAGGAATCAAGAGATTCAACCAGAGACTCTGCCCGACTGCGACTCAGTCAACACATTCTCCAGGAACGGTCTTACCAGGAATATACAAAAGACTATATGTAAATATTGTGTACACTTTCTTGTTTCAATACATTTTCTTCTAAGTACATTTTGTGTTGCATTATTATTCCATGCATTAGTCAAGTTTCAACACTATCTATCTATCTATCTGTTAATATCTGCCTATCCGAGTTTATGTGTTTATATCTATCTATCTATCTATCTATCTATCTATCTATCTATCTATCAACGTAGTGACATCCTACTCTATTATTTTGGTTTCAGCAAACGGACTCCTTCTATTTAACTTTAAACAGTTTATTAATTCTGAACATCGTTTCGGAGACATTTTACATTGGTTATCCAAAACCAATACTCTTTTTTTTCCTGTTCTTAGTTTTATTATGACCAATTGCAGTTTACTTTATAACCTAGAGTTGTTTTTACGATTTTCATTTATAATCGGAAGTAGTATGATAAAGCCCTGCGCCGTTGCAACACTTTCTTTTCATGTCTTTTCAGGACGTAGGCGATCATGGCTCTCCACCCCCGTCTATCCCTTGCAGCTCTCAACAACTTCCTTCCTTCTGCTTCCACCCCGCTCCCAGACCACTTTCTGTCATCCACTTGCTTAAGTCCGCCAGATATGTCACACGTTGTTTTCCCTTGTCTCTCTTTCCCTCTATTCGACCTGTGAATATAATTGTTTGCTTTTCCTTTCTAAGACCACATCGTTTCTCACACGCTCGGTTAATGGTATCTTTAGCATCATTCTGTAGAACAACATCTCTGTCGCCTCGAATCTCTTCTTCGTCTTTGAGGAAGCCGTAAAGAAAGACGGATGTCACGTAACAGCTCAGTATTTTTTGTTACCAAAGAAATCCTCTTGTCGCAATACTCTGCCCAGGTTTTGAAATGTGTCCTTGGCCATCCGAATACGTCTACGGATATCAGTGTCGCACTTACCGTCCTCTGTCAATACGCTTCCCAGGTACTTCCGCGTCTGCTTGATTCTCGTGTTCCCGACCTTCAGATCGCATTTCGGGTCCGTCCTCTTACTGACGACCATGCACTTCGTCTTCTTGTAGTTTATGCTTAATCCTTTCTTCTCACTCTCCGTCGCTACCTTCTGTAGGAGATTTTGTAATTTCATTTCCGTGTCTGCTATCAGTTCTGTCTTATGTCGCTAAGATTGTGGCTGTCAATGCTAAATCCCAGTAGGGTTTTCAACTCTCTCAGGATTGCCTCGCTGTATAGGTTGAACCGGTCAGGTGAGAAGACGCATCCTTGCCTTACGACCCTTTCTCATTTGTATACTCGTTCCCTATGCGCATGCATGCTGTTTGCTGCCAGTGTAGGTTCTTGATTATTCTGATATCTTTCCCGAATATATCGAGGTTGCTGAGCAGTCCCATCAGATCCATGTGGCGTACTTTGTCGAAGGCCTTTGCGTAGCCTATGAAACATAGGTGCACCTCCTTCTGCATCTGTATTGCTCTTTCTGATAACATTCTGAGCATGTAACACTACTACGCCATAAAACAAGCAGCGACCAGCCGCTCGTCAGAGGAAGATATGGTGCGGAGTAGATCCTGAGTCCTATCTCCGCTGCTTGGATAGAATCATCGGATCTGTTCCGTAGCGTGGATTTTTGACTGTCTATGACTAGCTAAGACCAGAAATTGACAAGTGTCACGAATTGAGACACTCAGTTTCCCCACGTTTAAATAAACTAACCTTGTGTCGCATCCTAACTCAGTGGGAAGCGGTGGTAACGGGAGAGGTAGAAAATGATGGGGTAATACTACCAGCGATCATCACCGCCAGCAGCCATCAGCGACCAACTGACTCCCGCCGACCACGTCTTTTGCCAATACACTCTGCGATTCAGGTTTCACTCCCTGCTGCTCATCATTTCGTGGACCCCAGTGGTTTAAACCGCTTAACCTCGGCTACGATGGCCTGGTAGTACCAGCTCAGCACACCAACTATCAACCTTCGGCACCACTGAAGTTGCTCCGTTTATCATCAAATGCCGACACATCTAAGACCAACATTCAACTACCAGCACCGCCACCTAGGGCATTTGAAACATCCGGATTTTTCGATTGTATTTTTCTGCCAATAATAAATTTTAGCACATCTAAACTCCTTGTTCTCATTATCTTTGCTTTGGCCTGTGTTACTTTTTCAATATTAATGTTTGCGAGGTTTGTCTAACATCGACATTCGGACCTCCACAACACTTTCTATCTCAGTCTTTTCGTTTCTATCAATCGAAGTTTATTCATTTTGTTCTATCTCAGTCGATGTGTTTTTCCATATATTTCAGTCTATTCGTTGCTATCTAAGTTTATGCCTTTTGTTCTATCTATCTATCTATCTATCTATCTATCTATCTATCTATCTATCTATCTATGTTAATATCTATCTGTCAGTTTTTTTAACTTTGTTCACATCTATTTTATTCTTCATATATCTATCTATCTATCTATCTATCTATCTATCTATCTATCAGTCTTTCTTTGTTAATATCTATCTGTCTATCTATCTATCTATCAGTCTTTCTTTGTTAATATCTATCTGTCTATCTATCTATCTATCAGTTTTTTTAACTTTGTTCACATCTATTTTATTCTTCATATCTATCTATCTATCTATCTATCTCAGTCAATACGTTCTTTTTCTTTCTGGCATCACAAACAATTTATTCCAAACAACAAACTACATTGTTTCCCCTTCAAAGTAATCCTCACGAGACTAACGCACTTTTCCTATCTTCTCAGCCGCGCTTCTATGCAAGAACGGCCCTTTTCAGGGTCACTACCCCTTCTATGCACTTCTATGGATGCCCCTCAACTCAGTCGTTACGGCCCTCTTCATGGCTTGCACGTCTTCAAAACGGTTCCCCTTGATGATACTTTTGAGTGTGAGGAAAAGAAAAAAGTCACACAAGACCAGGTGAATAGGGAGGTTGTTCTATTACGGCGAATTGCTGGAGGCTCAGGGCGCTGTGAGCAAGTGCACTGCCGTGGTGAAGCAGCCACGATGTGTCCGGCCACAACGCTCGTCTCTTCTCGCGCACTGAGTGAAGCAAGCGCCGCAGGATCTCTTTGTAGACTTGTTGAGTGATCGTCTGGCCTTGTGGCAAGGATTCATTGCGGACGATGCTTCTCATTTCGAAAAACGAATGTCCTGTTACTTTTCAGACTGACCTCGTATGTGTGTGTGTGTGCATTTGTGTGTATACTTAAATAATAAATCATTCGTACTTTTTTTTTTGCTAAACTGGCGTTTATTTTGATGAAAGCAAAGAATGATATTTAGTGACTTTGTAAAAAAAAAAACGTTAATATTAATTCTGTATCTTTTCTTTACCCATCTATAACTTAACCGCTGCCAATTATTATAGAATTAAAAAAAATAAAACTTCATAGATTATTATAATTAAAATGTATTAAAAAAAATGGAAATAATTCTTGGAAAAATTCATTATTCATCGAATATTTTCTTAAGACAATAATATCCATAATATATCTCAATCATAAAAGCAATTAAAATATTTTCTAATTAGATAACGTCTTACAATTTTTTATTTTACGATTTGGAGCAGATTTTGAGTTTCAAAAAAAATTGATGATTTAAATTCTTCAAGGATTTATAACCAATATAATCATTCATCTCTGTAAAAATGAATTTCTCCAAATTCCATAAAATTGAATAAGTGGTGTGTAGCAACTGATGTAAAAAGATATATGCACTTAGTTGGGATGACCAATTCATTTACTTCCTGAGAAGGGTTGCCAAATCACGTACGAACGATGTCATTGGAAAGTGGAAAAGAGAAAGATTCTGTCTTTTCCAGAAGTGGGTTCATAAAATCACGCACGTGACCAAAAATCGTTTTATAAATTGCGTAATGGGAAAATTAATTTATTTTTCTTTTTTTATTCTTTACTAGCATCCATACCCAGCTGGTCAATCAGAAAAAGCGTTCAATTAGAATGGAGCAAAAATAGCATCATATTTAGTACTTTCATTAAAAAAAACAAAAACATTTTGAATTAATGCGGTTACTGATATAACAAAAGTTGTCTGTATTTATTCAATCGAAGCTATCCGACGATATGATGGGATAAAACAGGCAATATGAAGACCCACTACAGACTATAATTATTTTGGAGTTCTTGAAATTCACTTTGTCAGTGCACTGCCAGGGATGTAAAAGAGGATACATTTATAAAGCAATTGTTAAGTTTGATGAAAATTGGTTTAAAGATTAATGAAAAATAAAGAAATCAATAAAAATCGTCATTTTTCGCTATTTACGTGGGTTTTCACTATATGGCTGAACTCAATTATCAAGTTAAATGACTGTTAAACAATCAACTTATTGTTGGATACAACTGAGTGAAGTTTGTATTAGATTGCTTGAAAACTGAGGGAGTTTTGAGTTTAAAATTTGTGTTGAAATCGAATTGTGTTGAAATCGATTTTTCGTTTTTCGCGGCTTTTCGCTAAACGCAGTAGCGTAGGAATAAAAAAAAATAAGGTATCGTTGAGCTCGTCATGATGTAAGAAACCTACATACGGAGTTTGAACGAAATCGGAGGAAAAAGTTGAATTTATCGATTTTTGATTGGCTTTATCGATTGTTGATTTTTTCAAATTATCAATTTCTTATAAGAACCTATCTTTTACATGGTACAGTGTATGTGCCAACTTTGGTCAAAATCGGTTGGATGGATCTCGACTGAAAAGGTATCACACAGACAGACACACAGACATACTCTGTTTTATATATATATATATATATATATATATATATATATATATATATAATTATTTTATCTATTGGCTTTATTTAATTTTCCCAGAGAATCATTTGTTTCAAGTGTTTCATAGATTAAATGCTCTAAACCATGAATATATGAAAAATATAAAGATTTATAAAAGCTAATCGAGAGGAACAAGTTTGTCATGTAAATTCATTTAAAATTGATCCCCCAAAACAATATATACTCATGACACGTGATTTCTTAAAATTTAAAAATAAATAATTAAAAAATTGACTTTTTTTATTCCTGATTTTTTTTCCACATATTAATATCGATTGGTCATTCCAGATTACGAATCATATTTTTTTTTTTTACTTTGTTAAGAATATCCTCAGCCACCTCCCAAAATCAATATTTCAGTGATCAAACATCATATTATTCCGCTTGTCCCTTCGCTCATTTGTTAGCTAGTTAGCGCGTACATCACGTCTGGCCAATATCTCATAAATAATCGACTATTCCGTTTTGAAAGCGAAGAAAGAGGGAAAAGGTATCAGAATCGCTGATAAATAAAGAAAAAGAAAGAAAGAAAGAGAGAGAGAGAGATAAGATAGAGGAGACGATAACGCTCTCATGTGTTTAAAGCCTTTAATTGAGTGATTCGTTGTCTATGGCTTATCAAACCCCTGCAGGTTATTTAAAGCCAGAAAATATTTTTAGATTGTAAGATATTTTTTTGTTTTTAGATAATAATAGTGCTACAAATCATACTAATTAATCTATAGCTGGGGGTAGGAGAGGTGGATTCATACCATTCCCATACCGCGCAAATGAATATAACGAACCCAACGGGAATTAAAACTCGTCTCTCCGATTAACAATTCCGAGCTATCATCCATTACACCAACCATACGTCTAAGCTTATAGCACCTGGTATTCCTAAGCAGTTACCCATCTAAGTACTGCCCAGGCTCGACGTTGTTTAACTTAGGTACGGGAACCGGTGGTTCAATTTCATTTTTTTTTTTTAAAGAAATCATGTCGTATGATGATAGCTGTTTTGGCTTCCGTAGGGATGGGGGGGGGATCAATTTACAATGAATTCACAGAGAAAATCGAAGCTCCCTTTTAACTTTAATTTTTTTTATAATTTCTTTCTTATATTCGTGGTATGAAGGGCTTAAGCTATATAAATAGGAAAAATAAAAATGTTGAAAAAATGATTATTTCAGGTTGCATCGTCACCCTAATTGGATTTGATCACAGTTATATGTTCAGTTGGTGTTAGTAAAACTGTTCAATACAGAAATCTATATCTATAATTCTCAATTGTGTGTATGTATGTGTGTGTGTGTGATTGGATGTTGTTTATGCGTTTCCACAGTTTCCATCCGATTTCGATGATTTTGTTTTGTTTGATTGATAATTCTTCAGTGCTGGTTTTGAGTTCAAATTGACTGGAAAAATTACAACCTTGAAGGTGAAAAATCGAGAAAACTGATTTTTTACACTTTGCACAAAAATCAAAGGCAAAATTTAATATCTTTAAAAAACAGCGTACAATCAATTTAGCGTGTTGAAATCTAACGCAAAAGATTATTAGAGTTATAAAAAAAATTATATTATAAATAAAAATTATCGTATATTATTATTATGACGGTCCTTGCAAAATTGTGAACGCAAAAACGGCCATTTTCAGGGCCACCACCCCATCAAATTGTTACACCCCCCCATTTGGGGATATGCCTTAGTTGCACCAAATTGTTGTTACTAATATTGATTTTCGGGTGGGCTGACTTTAAACTTATTTAAACGTATTTTTAATTTATTTCCATAATAATCAAAATTTCCTCATAAAGATTTTAGCATAATGGACATCGTCCTCAACAATTACTAGTATTACCTTCGGTACCGATCAGTTCCAGACAGATTCTATTGCGTTCGATAAGGCTTCTGCGTCTCTCGACTGTTTTTAAAGATTCCTCTTTTCTGAATCGCTTCCAAAGCATTCACATTCGATGGCTTCCTTTTAAGAAGAGCCATTTTCAATACATGCCACAAATATTCGATTGGATTTAGGCAAACCGATTAAAAGTGCCAATCCATTATAACAATTATATTCTAAAGCCATTCTGGGGGTAATTTTCGAAGTATGTTTCGAATAGTTGTCTCGGAAGATAGATCGTCTGCCAAGTGAAAAACAGAATAACAGACCGTAAACAATGAACTGATATTTTTGTGAATCCACTTGCCCCTCAAAAATGGTGAGTTTCCTGTTAACTCAACCTTATGAAAATAATAACGACACAACGATGCTTTACTGTTGGAAAGGTGTTTTTTACACATCGTGTGCTGTATTCATTTTTTTCTCCATAAACGTAACGTTTCTGGTTATATCTTCAAAGATCAATTGTTATCTTGTCTGATCAAATAAAATGTATCCAAGTAATCATTCGAGTGATTCAAAAACTTTTCAGCGAATGCTAAACTATTTTATGCCTTTTCTTCAGTAGTAACCTTTTTTGTTTACGTGGAATCGTCAGTGACATCTTTGTCGGTTCAGTGTTCAACAAATTGGTGAGACGTGTGCATTTGTTCCAGCATTCATCAGATCAGTGTAGCCATACTTTACGCTCGATTTTGCATGGACTGGAAGTTCCCTTGCGATTAAGTTAGCCCCATGACGAACGAAAGAGTTAATGGTCATAGTAAAAAAAAAAATTAGCTGTTTGCATATATTGGCCGGATTCATTGACCGATTAGTGTTACTGTCAGTTGTAATTTATAAAGTCTTTTCAGGAAAACGTTTTTTTTTTTCAGGAAATTCGACTTCTCAACTGTTAAGAAAATTAATGACAAAGTAAGAAAAAATTGTTTGACACGTTTCGTTTTTTGGACTTAATCGGATTAAAGTGATGTTTTGGTTGATATAACTAACTATACGCACGAATGGAAGGAGACCCTGACATTTTAAATTTATTTATTTATTTTTTTTAGATATATTTGGGTATATAGTCTACACTATTTTATTTAGTTTCTCTTTATGCTTTTATCAATTTTGCTATTAACACATTGGCTCTCAAGCCTCATTTCCCCTGTGGCATCAAGGTCCCAACACTATGTCTTAATTAATCTTGGTACAAGGGAATTTATGTTTTAACATTGATTCCAATATGAGGCAAGTATATTATAGGTATTATTTATTACCCACAACCCACTGGTGTGTCGCTCAGTATCATAATCCATTTTACAAGCCACCGTTTCACATGAATACATTGTACAGATCTATGTATGTAAAAAAAAAAATAAAAAAAAAACTGGCCATAAAAAACAGTAGAAATTCCAAAAGCAATATGAAATAAAACACAAAAAAAATTTAAAAAAAGATTAAATTTTTGTTCTTCTGTTGTACCATGATCTCATAATCAATCATAGCATCCTACTCCCAATAATCCTCACAGAAAAGAAATTGGAAAATGACCCACTAGAGGATCACGTGAGTCTTGCAGATATATCACCATAACACTCCGGTGGATTGTGTGGGAGCCAATGTGTTAATTTTTGTAGGATGTAAAATGACATGAAGGCTGCAATAAAAAAAAAAGACGGATGAAAAACTAGTAAAAAATTAATAATAAAAATGTTCCATCCAAGAAATTTGTAGATCCTCGTTATCATTGTTTCAAATTTAGAGAAGACGAGACATATTATTCATTGAATTTTTACTCTCTTTTTAATAATATTTCAGCTCATACATTTTTCGAGATTAATTTAGGTGGAAACTTTTCAGGTGTCTATTGCACCGATAGAATTATCATTCAAGAAAGAATTCATAGGATCGTTTAGGCCATGCAGACATAACACATGACCCTTTGGTCGGTTGAGTGGGATCAAACATGTTGATGATTTGATCTTTATATGCAAGATTTAATGTGTTCAAAATATCCAAAAGGAAAATCTAATAAGGAATCATGCAAATTTATAGATGGTAGAGAGAGAAAGAAAAACATAACAACAAGTAGAAATATATCTTTTATGAAATATTAATGATTAATTTAAGATTGTTTCATATATGAGGCAAGGACAGCATAGGTAGAATGTACTAGCAGTAGAGCCCGGCATTGCCCGGGGATGTAACAGTAAGAGATAGATCAAGTATCGACCATCATAAAGACTTAAAAAGAAAAATTGACAAAGATTATTGTTTAAGGTTGACGGACACGCATGTCTTAATTAGTTTTTTTTTTTTAGTTTTTTTTTTACGAATTGGTCAAACCCAAACTCAAACAAAAACATTGTTTTCAATTGTTATGAGTTTACCGATTGAATAGAATTTTATTATAAACAATTGTCTTGTAAATAGAATTTTTAAAGCATTCTGAATGTAAAAAAAAAAAAAAAAAAGTGTGCAAGACAATAAGAAACACTACCTGCCAAAAAAAGTGAAGTTTTGTTGAAATCGGTTGAAAAATGTAGGAAATCCGATCCCATATATAAACGAACACACACACACACACACACACACACACACACACACACACACACACACACACACACACAAAAAAAAAACAAAAAAAAACTGGATTTTATAATAAGTATAACTCGATATGAGTTGTCCCCCTTTCATTCTCGACAGCGATGCCTCTCAATCGTGTTTTCAAATTGATTTCGTGCAAAAACAATTATGTTTTTCAATTTTTGGCGCTGTCAGAACCACCGCAAGGTAATTTTACGCCGTCTTGTGAAGTTTTGTTGAAATTGGTTGAAAAATGTAGGAAATCCGATCCAATATATAAACGTACACACACACACACACACACACACACACACACACACACACACACCCTCTTGGGTTTTATAATAAGTATGATTACTCGCGACCCACCAGTGTGTCGTTCGGTACCTGAATCCATTTTACAACCCAGAGTTCCATTTGACTATTTTAGAATATACAAGTATTCCATTGACACTAACACTCATTTTTCTATATTCAAAAAATATTCAAATTCTTTTGGAAAAAATGTGGTTCTGGTGTACCATGGTCTTATAAGCTATCAATCGTGAGTATTAAATATCATCCAACTCTCAATAATCCTCATAGAAAGGAAATTGGAAAACAACCCACCGGAGGTTCGTTTGGGCTTTGCAGACCTGCTATCACGTCCTTCCGGTGGGTCGTGTGGGAGCCAGTTTATTAAGTATCCCACATTGTGAAAACACAAGATTCACAAAGAAAGGAGAAATGTCGGAAGAACTTAGACGTAAATTTTCTCTAGATGATCTAGCGATTAAAGCACTTTCTATACATTTTCGTCTTAGTAAATAGCTTTCTCTTTTAATTAAAGCAACTTTTTTAAAATCAAAACTATGGTCAGTCACATTACCGGAAGGTCGTGTGGGCCTTGAAGGCCTACTATTACGACCTTCCGGTAGGTCGTGTAGGAGCCGGTGTATTTAATATCATCCCACTTTGCGAAAACAGAAGATTCACCAAGAAAGGAGAAATGTTTTCTCTGGATGATCTAGCGATTAAAGCACTTTCTATACAATTTCGTCTTAGTAAATTGCTTTTGCTATTTCTAGTACTGACGAGAGTTACCTTCCCTACCTCTGTAATAGCGTGAAAAGTCAGCATCTCAGTTATACCATTATGTTCCCGAATGCTTACATGCGTTACCCATTTGTGTTGGTGCTGGCGTTGGAAGTGTTCAAGTGATATGGTTTTGCCAGAGCCCTTTGTGTCTGTGTAGCGTCAGCCTATATTTACTGCCAACTAGGAGTCGAATATGTATTCAAATGCAAATTGTGAAAATAAATGGTTGAATAATATCAACTCACTCGTATTTAGTATCAATTTTAATATTAACCTGTTTACTGAGTCAAAAATGCCCATGAAAAAGGCGAAATGCATTTCTTCATCCCCTCTCAACTGCGGGTTAAATATCAAAGTAGGTTGAGAGAGAGAGAGAGAGAGAGAGAGAGAGAGAGAGAGAGAGAGTATAAAAGAACAAGTCTGGTTTTAAACCCCGGAAAAGGCAGCAGTAAAACCAACCCAGTAGGTTTTCGTAGATGTTACAGATAATAAACAAACTGTAACTATCCATAGTTGATACCTATGACCACACTTTTTTATATTTATATACGCTCTGTCCCTCATTGTCGTCGGCGAAACATGCTGTTTAAAAGATTTTTGCACTTTGTCTGATCATCTCTACTGTTTTTTGCATAATATTATACATCTCTCTCTCCTCACTGTCTCCTCCCCATATATATATATATATATATATATATATATATATATATATATATATATATATATATATATATATATATATACGGGTACGTGGCCGTGTTCTTAGAATGTCCGCTTTCTGACCATGAAACCCAGGTTTGAATCTCATCATGGCCGATTTGTCAAGAAGGTGACTTCCTGATGCCATCCATCTGGAGGGGGCAATCCAAACGTGCGTCACCGTTGGAAAGTACCTGAAACCATACCACAGGTTAACACAAGCCTTGTGAGTGAAATTGGTTAGACGGTACTCTCGGAGGCCATCGATAGCTGTCCTAGCACGAAGTCACAAATTATGTTGACCGAAGGGTGCTGGCCTTGTTCACATTGTTGATCACACGAGATAACACGATCTTTCCCAGAAACTGTAACTAAGGTCTGCACAGCATAGTTGCAGTATAAACTGCAGGTGGTCTCTGTAGATGTTAAACAAATACAGATGTGCCTGAACAGGCGTCTGCAATAGGTATTGGCTAGCCGCCCTAATAGACGGATATCCTCGAATACGAGTGGCCAGCTATATATATATATATATATATATATATATATATATATATATATATATATATAAAGAATTCATGGATTTTATTTTTAATCCGACATATCTTTATTATTTCAAATGTTATTTTTAGCAAAAACTCCTTTTTTATTTTTTAAACAGTGTTTATTTCGTCTATTAGCCTACACACTAGAGCATATGTTCCTGCCAGTAGGATTCGAACCTCCGCCCCCCCCCCTGAGCAGGAGAACGCCTTGTCTTTCTATGCATCTGTGAAGAAGTGGGCTGCAGGATTTAAGCGGGACAGGGACAACACAGAAGATGACCCTCGGTCAGGTCGTCCAAAAATTTTAATCACTGATGAACAAATTGATGCCATTCACAATATGGTATTGATTGACTGACGTCTTTAAGTCCAGTTGATAGTTAAGTCCCTAGGCATTAGTTCTGGTTCGGTCCATATTGTTTTAACTGAGATCTTGGGGATGAGCAAGATGGGTACCAAGAATGCTAACACCAGAGAAGGAGCTGAAAACGGTTGACATTTCCAGGACACTTCTTACACGCTTCCAGGCTGACCCTAAGAATGTCCACCGAAGATTAGTAACTCAAGATGAAACCTGGGTTCACCACTTTGAGCATTTCAGAGTATTTGGGCTCCAATCGGAGGATAGAGGATTCAGAAAGAGTTGGATGAGTCTAATGGTGATTACGAACGTACAGCAACTCGTAAAACTCGCCCGGATCGTTCTGATAAGAAAAGAACTCCCGAATTTGTTGCTGTGGGCCTCAGGTTTACATCAAGTGCCTTCTGGAGGTAGTGCTGCCTTGGGTCAAGAGGGTGGCTGCTGGAAGATCTAATGTCTGGCAAAAGGATACTGCACAGTACCACACAAGCAGGAAAACATAGTGACAGCAGTCAAACAATTTCTACGACCATATTACTCCTTACATCTGGGCATCTAACTTGCTAGACTGCACCCCATTGATTATTATGTATGGGATGCAGTTCAGGGAGAGACCAGCAAAACTCTTTGTAACACCAAAGATGAAATGAATGCAAGGATTACGGCAGCATTTACCAATTTAAGCAAGGAGTTGCAGAAGAGTGGCAGAAGATATCGAAGTCGTCTGGAGGCTGCGGTTGAAGGCAATGTTGATTTTATGAAATAAATCTATCCTTTAATATTTCAAGATATTTTTGTGTCATTTTATGGGAAATATATCTTTTAAAATGAGATGTCAGCGTTATTTTCATTTCTGCGTAATTCATACGACAATTTATACAACTCACCCTATCTATCTATCTATCTATCTATCTATCTATCTATCTATCTATCTATCTATCTATCTGTTGTAGAGTAGTTTCACAGTGGGTGGATTGTATTTCACTAAGTCGGTCCTAAAATAGGTTCGACGTACAAAACGTTAGGAACTTGATATAATAGGTAATGGCGCAGAGAAATCTAGTGGTGGTCGCTGCTACTTTAGTATCCGACAAACGGTCGTCCGGCATCGACTGACTGACCAATTCGCTGAGTGACTCAGCGACTGCTACTACTCCTACTTATTATAGGTGGGAGAGTCTATTAACTATAGAATATGTATGTTCCACTATAACACTATCTATCTATCTATCTATCTATCTATCTATCTATCTATGTCAATCCTTTCATTGAATACTGCTGCCATATCTGGTCTGGTGCCCCTGCTATTAATCTCAACATAAAATCCAAAGAATGGTCTGCAATGTAATCAATCCTAACTTGGCATCACGACTCCAGTTACTTTCTCACCGACGTGGCATGGCTTTCCTCTGTCTTTTCTAGAAATATTTTCATGTCAACTACGCTGACGAGCGTTTTTCTCTGGTGCCCCGACTGCATGAATTTGAAGCGTGTTACTAGATTGGAATCTAGGCCCTACCCTTTTATTGTTGAAATAGTTAAAGTTAATTGCCCTTTCTACTCCAACAGTTTCTTTTCTCGCACTTCCTGCACGTGGAAAACCATTCCGTTTGCTTGCTTTCCTGATAAATACAATCTTCAAAAATTAAATGCAACATCAATCGCCATCTTCTATTTTCTTAAATCCCGTTCTACTTCTGTTTTTTCCTCAACTCTCTCTAAACATAGTCTTCTCTTTTTTTTCTTTTTTCTTGTTTGGGTGGGGTTAAAGGATTAAAAAAATCTATCTATCTATCTATCTATCTATCTATCTATCTATCTATCTATCTATCTATCTATTTCAGAATGTCCATTATCTATCTATCTATCTATCTATCTATCTATCTCATATATTCGTTTCTACCTATCATAATACGTATATTCCTTTCTATCTATCTATCTATCTATCTATCTATCTATCTATCTCATTTGAAGCGTCTCGCTCTTTCTTTCAGTCTTTTAATCTATCTATTAATATCTCTCAGTTTATGCGTCTATATCTATCTATCTATCTATCTATCTATCTATCTATCTATTCGTTTCTATCTATCATAGTACGTATATTCCTATCTATCTATCTATCTATCTCATTTCTATCTATCGTCATTTCGTCTCTCTTTCTTTCAGTCTTTTAATCTATCTATTAATATCTCTCAGTTTATGCGTTTATATCTATCTATCTATCTATCTATCTATCTATCTATCTATCTATCTATCTAGTTATCAGTGAAATGACAAACATTATTGTATATTAAGTGTAGTTTATCACAGAAGAAAACCTGACACCACATATTAGTTGATGATTCCAATTCGTCTGTTCCATGGTTCTAGAATTTGACAAATGTTATTTTTTCTTTATTTTCCCAAGAAAATTAGTGAAAACGAATGGCATTCGTTTCTTTTTTCTTGCTTTTCAAAGTTAAATCCTTCTCAACGATTATGATCAAAATAATCTAAAGAGTCAAGAAAATGAGGTTAGCCATGGGCAGTGGAAGGAGAACAGTCTACACCGTAGATCAAATAAAACACACTCCTGATTAAAACCAGGTCACATAACGACCGAAACGTCGTAACAACACCGATGATAACAAGGTTTATCATTTTTGTTTATTTAACGGTATATCAACTCATGTGTCATTTAATTTTGAAATTAATTTTTTTCTTGGGAGCTTTGAAGTAATAAAAATATATGTTATTCTGCTTTCACAATTGAATACATGGTAGATAATACTCAGCTTTTGTGCGTATGCACATTTGCGTAGATATGATTACTAGAGGTGGTGATATGTGTGTTTTATGCTGTAGTTTTGTTGAACTTATATTTTGGAATACAGTTTAATTTCTTTAAAGGGGCAGTGATATATATGTCATGTTGGAGTTTTGATGAAGTTTAAGAAATTGTAGGATATTTTATAGATTAATGTCATGAAAGAGTTTATTCATATTGTTTGTTTGGTTGATTTTGTTTAGCGGCATATCAACACCTCTATGGGTTATTTAATGCCGAAATCTGAATATTTTGATCGCCTTCAGCTACACATAAAATGTATTGCTGGTCATTTTGCTATAAGTATTTATTTTGATACGTTTTTAGCGTCTTGTCTTTGTTTGGGGGTTCACTATTAACCCATAGATGGGACCCTAACAAGTTCTACCGCCCCGGGTCAGGGTGGACTTGGGAATAACAGCAATTAAGTTGTGGTTCTATGCTCCTGAAAACCTCCAATCTCCCGATCAAAACCCTTTTTTTTTTTTTTAAGCGTTTCCCCCAAGCAAGGCGGGAAGCCACTAGGACGCAAGGGGTTATAGAAAATTTGGATCAAGATCAGATAGGAGTGATAGAAGAAAGGATGAGGAGAAGGGTAGTGGATAGATCAAGGCAACTGGAGATGTCGATTGACATTACATTTCAATAGCTGGAGATTATAGCTCTCAGGGAAACTGGAATAGAGAAGGGAGTTCCACAGGCGAGAGGTGCGAGACATGAAGCTATTGGAGTAGAAGAGACGCCTACATTTAGTAGTTTCGAAAGTGAAAGGGTGAGAGCGGGATGCCAGCCTCGTAGGGCGCTTGAAATCATGAAGTCTGGGAACCAGCGAATGCAGCTCCTCGGAGCAATTGCCATGAAAGTATTTGTAGAACAGACAGAGAGAGGCGACGGCGCGTCTGTGAGAAAGTGACTGTAGACGAGATGCCAGAGCAGGGCCAATTATATTGCATATCCGCCTCTGGAGCCTATCAAGAACCCCGAGGCAAACAGAAGGAGCTCCAGACCATATATGGCAGCAATACTCCATGCAAGGGCGAATTGTTTGCTGCCGGACGTAGATTATCGTCATGCCCAGTGCTATGAGATGATAAAAACATTTGTCCGCATAAATAGTGTAAATAATAATAACTCCTCATCTCATAAATTTTGATATCGTTAGAACTGTTAGATATTAGGTTTATTTCAAACTTTGAGTTAAAAGGGTTAGCCGTTACAGCTGCCATTTTTAATTTGTTGAGTCTATCAGATTTACTATTAAGATAGGAGTAAATAGTTATATCTGCATAGATATCTAGTTGGTAACTAATGACAGTGGAAAGGTTGTTGATGTAAATAAGAAACAACGTATGTCGAAGCATAGAGCTCTGGGGGACCTCTGAATTAATGTGGAATAATCTAGAAGCGTTATGGTTCAACTGGACATTCATTAGCCGATTTGTTAAGAACGATTCGATTAAGTCAAATATCCAACACGATAACTCGCGGAGAAGGCCATCAGGCCAAAACCCTATCATACGCCTTCTAGATATCTAAAGCCACAGTCTGAGCCTCATCGTCCTTATCTAAAGCCTGATAGATATCCAGTGATAACAGTTAACACATCAGCGGTTGGCTTTGAATATAAACAACAAAATATAAAGTTTACAGCAAGCACTGGGGGGGGGGGCAGAATTCAGCTATGCTTTATTTGCCCCATGATATTTTGCTAGAAGCCAGAATATACTAGTTCTTGGAGTTACTGCTTTTTCAGATATCTTTACCGCATTAGTTGAATTGTGTATTTATTCATAACTTTGGATTGACACTGTTCTCGACCAGTAACGGTAAATAATGCGTATGTATAGTCGCATGAGAATACTTTGCTCTGTCCCGTCTGCTGACATCGGTCCCGACGTCCACGCTTCGCAGTTGAAGACACGAATAGTGTGAAATATGCTGGTCTCAAAGACTGCTGCAATTTCGAACCGCTGGCCTTCGAGACGGTTGCCACCTACGGCGACGAAGCGAGCGCTCTTATCGACAAAATTGGACATCGTACCGTTTGTGTCATGTTCGTCATCTGCGAAATCACTATTCCACGCCAACGACCGTCCCTGGTTATCGTCCGAGGCAGCAAGGCTGCCGTCGTTGCAACCAGCGGGCATAAAGCCAACGCAGAAAATTCGGTAACTGACGTCACGAAATCATCATACGATTTATTTAAATTGAATTCTAAAGGCTTTTACTATTACATATCAGCTGTGCGGATAGTGTAGCGGTTATCGACGCAGAAATTAAAATCAGCGAACCGAATTCAAATTGATGTCATTTATCTTTCATTTAATACGCACTAATGATCATGGAAAAGACAGGCATACATCTTCCTCCATATATGGGTTAAATAGCAGAACAGACTGAGATCTGTTGCCTTAGCTAACAACTAGTCAAATTGAAGGGAAATTCTATTCAAAACCGACCTGAAGAGGATTGGCTTTCAGGCTGTCTTGCTCTAGACAAGTGGTTCTTAATCTGGGTTCGATAAAACCCCAGGGGTTCGATGAGTCATCTTTAGGGGCTCGGCGGGGGTCAAGATATGTCAATGATGAATACCTCGACGAAATCATTGAACTTCATCAGAGTCAGGTTTAAGAGAAACTCTTCAGAACAACAACGCTCTCAACGTTTTGGTGTCACCAAATTGTAGCCTACACTCTTATTGCTAAGAAAGCTCTTGAGATACTCAGATAGTTTATTACAACGTACCTTTGCGAGCAATCCTTTTCGAGGAGGGAAGACATGAAAACGAAGAAAAAGAACAGACGTTGTTGTGAAAATGAGAGTGGCACTTGTCAAGATGAAATAGCCATTTTTTTAACTTGTCTCTGAAAGGTAACATTGATTTGCATTAAATATTCATCGAGTTACGTTTTTGTTTTCGCTTAAATTGTTAGATGTCTTACTATAATAACCTGTCATATTTAACTATTAATAAGAACAATTATTCGTCTGGTATTTACATTTGTTAAAGGATGGATATCGTAGGCTAATATTCAAGGTTTTAAGCATTATTTATCTTAACCATGACTTTTAAAAAAAATTAAAGTTAAATATGAATTATTATTTACCAGTGTATTAAGATTGCTAGTGGTTGAAGAGGGATAATATTAATTATGTATATATGTGACACGTGGTTCGCTAGGAACAAAAAGTCATTGAGAAGGGAAATGAAACACGTCTTGTCTTCTGCGACATCTTACAGGAGACAAAAGAAAAGAAAGATCGTTTGTGCCTTTATCTTTTATGCTGTTATTTTTTGGGCAACGCCATCTGGCGAACGTTATAAATTTCCTGGCAAATAAGTGAGATAATCCAACACCAGTAAAATTGAATTTAAACCATTTAAACCATAGAAATTATATATCACATTAAAACATTCACCTGTTCCCATACGATCACTGAAGTTAAGCAACGTCAAGCCTACGTACGTGGGTGACCGTTTGGGTATATCAGATGTTGTAAGCTTGGGTGTGCAGGTGGTGCAATTGATAACGACTTGGAATTGTTAATCGGAGAGCCGAGTTCTAATTTCAGTTGTGTTCGTTATATTCACTTACGCACTTGGAAAAGGTATCACTCAATCTTTTCTCCCCTAGCTACGGGTTAATTAGTAAGACTTTATCAGTAAATCCTTATTCTTACCTGCAAACGTTTGATAAACCGTAGAAAACCAATCAATCAATCAATGAAATACTGATTAGCTACACAGGTATGTTTTTAAATTTATTTACATTCTCTGGAATATAAATGTATATACATAAACGTGACCACAAAGTGAGGGATCAGTTTATACATTGATTTTAATATAGAATTGATCCCCCAATTTATATTCACATTATAATTTCTTGTTTGTTTATCAAATTCTGATTAGGCATGAATCTACCTCCTCTCCCCTGGGATAAGATTTGTATAACTAAATCACTATTACGTCCCTCTCCAAAAGAATTCTTACAACGTAAAAATATTTTCTGGCTTTAAATAACCTGTAAAGATTTAATAAGCCGTAGAAAACGAATCAATCAAGGAAATACTGATTAGTTACAGAGGCATATCTTTTAGATTTATTTACATTATCTGGAATGGTATAAAATGATAATTGGGAAAAAATCTTAGATTTTGCCGACGCGTTTCGTCTTCCGACTTTTTCAAGGCAAAAATGAAATCGAAATGTTTTTGTTGTTACAGTTAAAAATCTAATATTTTTTTTTCCAATTGTCATTTTATACCAATCTGTCTTGTCCACAGAATTGATCTGGATATTTAACTATATTATCTGGAATATAAATGAATAAAAACAGCAATGGGCACAAAGTGAAGGACCATTTTTTTATATTGTTGTGATATAGAATTGAACCCCCACTATATATCCACATCATAATTTCTTGTTTGATTTTCAAATTCTGACTAGGTCTGAATCCATCTCT